ATCCTTTGTAATAATTTTTAATAACCATGTTTTTCAAAGAACCCGGAAAAACGTATTCGTGCGAAGACTTTGTCAAATACAGTTACATACCGCACCATCTTTCTCCAGAAGTGTGTTGTCGCATAATGTGGGTTTAAAATGCGCGTGGCCTAAATTTAAGAACAGGTATTTCTGTCACCAGGAAATAAAAGGTACAAGTAGAAAATAAAAAGACGTCGTGCAACTGAGACTGAGAAGAACCATAGAACAATTCCAGAAACAAAACACTTAAAAAACTCAACAATTGCATTTTTTATATTTTACTGCATGAATTATCATTACTAATTAATAGAAGTGTAATTTAATTTTTAACTACCCGTGAAAAACAAAGTTTTTTGACCTCATGATTATTTTATATATGTGTATGAATGTATGTTAAAATAGAATTTTTAATCATGTGGCGAAAGACAAAAAGATCTCATTTAATCGCGTGTTACTAACAGTGTTGCGAGATGTCAAAGAAATTATTCATGCATTTCCTAATTGTTCTATATCAAATTTTGGCCTTTTTACTAACTTAATTTGTCAACTATACAATGTAAAAAATGTTAGTAGAAGATGTAGAAAAAATGTTAGTAGAAAATGTATCTATGTGAAACAAACCAATTTAAAGTAAAATATCATCAAAACATCAATAACTAGAGTTCAAGTAGTACAGAATTTTATATACCAAAAAATATGTATTACATATTCATATTCATATTATCTCGTGACTAGCGACGTCGTAAAATATTTTATATTTGAATTTTTCATATTGCAATTTTAACTCTTTGGAGACGGCTGTCCACCTGAGTGGACAAACATACTCTCTGAGGCACAGGCTATTTTATAAACAATGACTCAAATCAACCAGCTATGCATTTTGGAAATTGTTTTGAACGTCACCATTCTTTATAAAATGATCAAAAATAAATTAATGTTGTAAATGTATGTCCATCAATGACCACAATTTTTTATCAAACAAATTGCATAACATACACAATGAAATCAAGATTATAGCCGGTACAGTAGATTGTTTTGAAATCGGTGCCGTCCCGTAAGTGTTAAAGGCTTTATAAATACTTTAAAAATTAAAGAACAATTAACAAAAAACTAAAATGTCACATTGAAATGCCACTGGAATCAAATTATAATAAAGCAATTTAATATATCTCCATTTCATATCCTAATACCCTGTTTTCCAACTAGTGGGGCGCGAGGCTGTTTCGATGAGGGCGTAAAGTATTTCCAAAATACTATTTTAAAAAATAAACCAAAAATATCGAAAGGATTAAAAAAAGTGAATAAATAAATAATATATGTATATGTATATAATCAGCAAATACATAGTATTTTAACAGCTTTTAGTACTATTTCATATGAAAAAAGCAGCATAACATAGCGTTGCCATAACATTGGTGTACTTTACGACAGAATTGGCCCAATATTTTATTCATAAATATATTGCGTATTAAATAAGATAGTTTTCATTGCGTTTGTTTTTGTATTATCAATAACACCAATAGCTAGGAGAGGGCGAAGGCAACGAGGACGGCTTATGCAAAGTTTTTTTTATTAGTTCAAATTGACGACATTTACAGAGGATTTTTTAGTAACAAAATTTTTAGCCGCGAATATGGGAATTGGGTCGAATTTTTTTCTCATCGAATAAAGGCAACAGGAATAAAAAACTTTATTTTAACTATTTTAATTGATACAATTTTGTTCAAGTATCTTCTAAATGTAGTTTTATTAACTTAACGTATAGTAAGTTATTGTAGTAGTCCAAAAAGTCGAAATTGAAAATTTTTGCATATCTTCACGTATTTTGTAATTTTATTTTGTTAATATTCTGTTTATTATTTATATTTATATTTTTGTATTTAGGTTTATTTTTTTTATTTTTTTTAAACCTCAACAATTTTGTATTATAAAACTTCAATAAAGTTTTGATTGACAAAAAAGATAACAAAATATGTCTTCACGTCTCGAAGGTTTCTGAACATTTTAGCATACCTTTGAAAAAATGGATGAACGTGTGTATGTGTACGAGTGTATGTGTATGTATGTATGGATACAATTTTTCGTCCAAGTTTTCGAGAGTACGGATCAACCGATTTGAATTAGTTTTTGGCAAAGGCAGGTCTAGCCGTTTCGCAGATACGGGGCAGAAGTGCCAAAAAAATGTATTTCAGTTTTTGAGATAACAGAGCGTCCGACTTAAATAATTCAAAAAACATTTAGCTTGTATTGACGAAATGAACAACTGGAAATTTTTTTGTAAAGGCAGGTCAAACGTCTCCAGAGATCCAATAAAAAAAGTAAAAAACAATGCCATTTGGCGGTCAAAAATGATCATTAGACATATGCACATCAAATTATCAGATCTTTTATAGAGATTTTAATAATGCGTATAAATTTTGTTTACATTCCTATGGGTTCCGTACCAATGTTTATCCGTTAGACGGCGACGCGTCGCCTACGCGCTTCGATATTTCGTCTCTGTGCAGTTAAAGCAGTACGATTGCTTTGAAAACAAGTTCAGAATTTCCAAAATCTTTCAAAATAAAAAAACATTTTTTTCCAAAAGTTCTTTCCAAAAAAGTCAACTTCTTTCAAAAATTGAAAATTTCTCAAAAATTTAATTTTTTCAAAGATTAAAAAAAATCTTTTTTAAAAATGAAACCAGTGGTATATGGCATCGTGCCTTAAGGCAAATTGCTGGAACTTCCCGTACCAAAAATTACATTTTAATTTTTGGTACAGGAAGTTCCAGCAATTTGCCTTAGAACACGATGCCATGCACCACTAGTTTAATTTTAACCCAGTACAAAATAAAGACAAATTGCTATCCGGCGGTTCAAACAATCACTATTGTATTTGATCATTTCTCAATGATCCCGCGTAAAGTGATTCGCCGATTCACGTCGACCTTTGTGAGTACCGGGCGGCTTTTTTGTTTTTTTTTTTTTGTTTTTATAAGATTTTTTATTACATTTAATATGAAAAAATATATACAATCTATAAATTTACAACATAAATATCTATCTTCATTTGAAGATAAAAAAACAATTATTTAAACTATAATAAATTCACTTAACTATTACTTTAATCTAAATAATATTTATTATGTGGCAAAAATATCACAAAAACCACAAACAATATATTTAAAGATAATACAGCACTAAGAAAAACATAAATGTGGTGGAAAAAAACTTGATAAATTAAAACTGAAATATTTATTTTAACTAAAGATCTTTTATAAAACTAGATAGCACATAGTTAGAATACCTGAACATATCTTTTGTCACAGAACCTATCACATTAATTGTTGTTTTATTATTAACTAAACATTTTGAAAAAAATAATTTTGAGATTTTATTTATTAATTCCATAATTTCCGGAACTTGTATTGCCCCATGTAGTATTTTGTTTGATATATATGGTATAGTGTAAATTTACTGGATTTCTTGATCTTCCAAAAACTATCCTTATTTCGGCATTTCTTTGAGGGCCTTTACTTAAAACTAAACAAACTGCGAGAAATTGTGCAAAACAGTTATGGCTCTAGTATATTTTTAAAAAATCTCCATTAAATATTAAATAATTTGTTCAGTTACTCACTATAAACAGAAACAGCCTATAGACTTAATGTAAAAAATTGTTTTCCATAGTCAATTGCTTATTGGAGCAATTACTACAATTTGCTTTTACAAGTTATTGTAATGGGCCGAAAATCGGAATTGAAAATTTTTACATTTCTCGACGTTTTGAAGTTTTCTGAACATTTTGGCATACTTCAGAAAAAATGGATGTGTGTGTGTGTTTATGTATGTATGGATACAAATTTTCGCCCACGTTTTCGGGCGTACGGATCAACCGATTTGAATGGTTTAAAAAACAATTGAATCCTATTGATAAGCAGATATGCTGATTAGTTTTTGGCAAAGGCAGGTCCAGCAGTTACGGAGATAAGAAGCAAAGAGTGCCGAAAATAGAAATCGAGTTTTTGAGAGAACGGAGCATCCGATTTGAATGATCTAAAAAACATTCAATTAGTAATGATTGGGAGAAGGGGTCATTAGTTTTTCGCAAAGGCAGGCCCAGCCATTTCGGAGATACAGAGCTAAATGTACAAAAAATGGCAGTTTTTGAGAGAACTAAGCGTCCGATTCAATTGATTCAAAGAACTTTCTGCTTGTCTTAACAAAATAATTGATTTTGGAAAAAAAAATTTTTGTTTAATTTTTTTTTTATTATATAATTTTTTGTATATCGAAAATAATTCAGATTTTATTTTTAATTCTGACTATAGTTCTAATATACTTTAAACAAATAATTTCAACTCTGCAATTCAGTTTATATAATTCTTATAAATATTAGACATTGTTACAATATTTATAATAATCTATTTGAAAACATTCAATATTCCTCGAGCATTTCGTTACGGTACGGGAAGTTCCAGCAATTTGCCTTAAGGCATGATGCCACCCACCCCACTAGTTTATTCTTTATTTTTTATCTATTTTTATTTATTTATTTATTATTATTATTGTTATTATTATTTTTTTATTTATTTCTGTGATTATTATTATGTGTAATTTAGCCATATAACTCATAGGGTATGTAAATAACTGATTGTTATATAATACGAAAATAAAAAAAAATAAAAAAACTCACTATAAACACACCGGTATAAATGGCAAATCAATTGGATTTTATCACACAAGTTTATATAACATCTCAAAGCACATGTAAGTAAAAAAAATATAATTAAATACCATTGTTGTTTCTGTATCTGTACACTTCAAATGCAAATTTCCATCAAAGTGAAGCTCACGATCAGAAAAATTTAAAATAATTACGAAAATGTAATCAATGAATGTTATTTGTAACAAATATGGAAAATCATAAGATTTAGTTCAAAATAATCACAACAATGCAGTACATAATCAGTATAAAAAATGAGTACAAAATCCTACCTTTTGCGGAGCTGTAAATATTCCTATTCCGTAATTAAAATTCCCAATAGCATCGGACACTTATTAAACAAAACTAAACACAATAACTAAATTCAGTACACAAGGTATTTTCACAATAAATTTTACGTTGTCTGGATTTTCACAAAATTTAGAAAAGTATAATCACACAACAACAATCTCACTACAAATATCAAAAATTATTATTTTCGGAACTAATTTTACGATTACCATAAATCGACGTGAACGAACCACGTGTCGGGAGACCAAGCTGTTGCCCGCTTGGAGTGCGAAAGCGTACTGAATACTTCACCACGTTTTGTTTATACTCGAAACCTTCCGACGTTACAAAGAGCAAGAGGAGTGGAAGGTAACACCAACAATCAAAACAATTAGTACTGAATTGATTAGTAGGAAATTGATGTTGGAAGTTTCCTTTAAGTTTAAGGGGGTATTCTAGTGTAGAAATTAAACTAGCTGTAAGTGGAATTCTGTCTTAAGGCAATTAAGGCATCGTGCCTTAAGGCAAATTGCTGGAACTTCCCGTACCAAAAATTATTATTTTTTTTAAAAACGATTAACATTTTTAAAAAAAATTACTTAGTAAAAATAAGATTTTTGACAATTAGACAAAAAATTACTTTTTTTTGAAAAAAAAATTTTTTTTACATTTTTTTTTCTTTAATTTTTTTTTTTGAAAAAAAATGTTTTCTTTATTTTGACATATTTTTAAAGATCTAAACTTTTTTTCAAAGCAATCGTACTGCTTTAACTGCATAAAGACGAAATATCAAACCGCGTAAGCGCCGCGTCGACATCTAACCAAAAATGTAAACCAAAATTATACTTATTGTTAAAATCTCTATAAAATATCTGATAATTTGATGTGCATATGTCTAATGATCATTTTTGACCGCCAAATGGCATTTTGTTTTACTTTTTTCATTAGATCTCCGAAACCGCTAGACCTGCCTTAATGAAAATTTGATCGGTTCTTCACCTTGTCAATACAAATAAAATGTTTTTTGTTCTATTAAAATCGGACGCTCCGGTCTCTTAAAAACTGAGTTACCGTTTTCGGCACTTTTTGCCCCGTATCTTCGGAACGGCTAGACCTGCCTTTGCCAAAAACTAATCAGCACGTCTCCTTATGAATACGAATCGAATGTTTTTTGAATTATTCAAATCGGTTGATCCGTGTTCCCGAAATCGTCGACGAAAATTTGTATCCGCACATACATACACACACGTACATACATACACACACACACACACACACACACATACATCCATTTTTTTTTAAGGTATGCCAAAATATTCAGAAATCTCTGAAACGTAAAGATATATAAAAATTTTCATTTTTTGATTTTTTTGCGATTACTATAACTTGCCCTACGGGAAGTTAAAAAAAACGTTTTTTATGCAGTTTTATAAGTTATGCAGTAAAAGAGGTGACATGTTCCATAAATATGTCGAATAAATAAACCGTGAATAAAAATTGGTAATTTACTGGGATTACAACAAACACGTATCTGGGTCTTTTTATTAAATAGAAAAATTATACAAAATATAAATATAATTAAAAATTGCAGACTTTTTGATAAATTAAGGGGGTATTCTAGTGTAGAAATTCAAAAAAATCGATTTTTTTATTTCATATTTTCAAAGTTTAACTATCTAAGAATATGGGTACGAGAAGGTTTTTGAAAATTTCAATTATTTTCGGAGATATAGGCAGTTTACTGACTCGGTCTTCATACTGGTTTGGCTTCACGCAAAACTTTAAATGCGTTTTTCTCATGATAACAAACTTTTTCAGTTCTGTTGACACGATTTCTCGAGTTCTACACGACTGATTTACTTAAAATGTTCAGAGAGTCTTGTTTATAGACCTAGCTATAACCCGAACTAGGATTATCCCCAAATTCCAATTTTTATTATTTTTAAGAAATTCGAGAAACTCAAAAAAACAGTAAAAAAAACACTTTTTTTTCAAACAGTCGCCAATTTGTTAAAAAACATTTTTTTACTCATCGCTAGTTCGGGCAATTGCGACATCATTGTAGATTCATAATCTTTTTATTTCTTTTATTTCGGGTGGCTAGGAAGGCTGAAATCATGTCAAGACTGAGGTGCCAATTTTTTGAGACCACCCACTTCAACAGCTGCCAGCTTTTCCAATTTTCAACATTTTTAATTTTTAATTTTTGTTTTGTATTTTAATAATATTAATAAGCAAGTGATAAAAAAATGGATAGAAAAACATTAATTGCTTTCTTTTACGACACTTTAAAAATGACCTAAAATTCATCGCTCTACACTAGAATACCCCCTTAAAAAGTTTGATTTACGGTATAGAACTGTGAGGTTGCGCAAGTAAATCAAACGTCAAAGTTATTAAAAACTAGTGGCCTCGTACCTTAAGGCAAATTGCAGGAACTTTCCGTAGCGAAAACTAAATTATTAAAAAAGAACTGTGCAAAACTTTGAAAATAATTAGATTTTTGAGAAATTTTTACATTTTTGAAAAAAATGACTTTTTTGAAAAATTAGATTTTTTTATATTTTGATTTTTCTATGTATTTTGATTTTTTTTTTAATTTTGAACGTTTTTTTTAAGCAATCGCGCTGCATAGCTGATTTGGAGTCGAAATATCAAAGCGCGTAAGCGCCGCGTAGTTGTCTAACGTGTAAACATTGGTACGGAACCCATATAAATGTACACAAAAGTTGTACTTATCATTATATTCTTTATAAAATATCTAATACTATACATATGTCTAATGTTCATTTTTGACTGCCAAATGGCTTTTTTTTATTGGATCTCCGGAGACGTTGAACCTGCCTTTACAAAAATTTTCATTTTCAAAATCATTTCGTCAATACAAGTAAAATATTTTTTGAATTATTTAAATCGGACGCTCTGTTTTCCAAAAAACTGAAATACCATTTTTTTGGCACTTTCTGCCCCGTATCTGCGAAACGGCTAGACCTGCCTTTGCCAAAAACTAATCAACATCTCCTTATCAGTGGTAATCGAATGTTTTTTCACACACATACATCCATCTTTTCTAATTGTAAGGTATGCCAACATTTTCAGAAACTTCTGAAACGGAAAGATAAATACAAATTTTCATTTTGGATTTTTTGCGATTACTATAACTTACCCCACGGGAAGTTAAATATGTTTTAAAAACTTCAACAAAATCAGATTTGTGAGAACTTTGAGAATTTTGAGTAAATTTGACTTTTTTGAATTTTTTTTTTCATATTATTTTCATAGCTTTTTGAAAATTTTGAAATTGTTTTCAAAGCAATCGAGCTGCGTTAGCAGCGTAGAGATGAAATATCAAAGCACGTGATACACGTTGCACTTTTATTATTTTTTTCATTCGATCTTCGAAACCGCTACACCTGCCTTCCCAAAAATTTAACCAGTTGTTCATTTTGTCAATACAAGTAAAATGTTTTTTCAATCATTGAAATCGGACGCTCCGTTCTCTCAATAAATGCGATACCATTTTTGGCACTTTTTGTTTCGCATTTTCGAAACGGCTGTACCTACCTTTGCTAAAATTAATCAGCACGTCTCCTTATCAATAGAAATCGAATGTCTTTTTAATCATTCAAAACAATTGATCCGCATGCCAAAATGACCAGAAACCTTTAAAAACGTGAAGATATGCAAAAATTTTCATTTTTGATTTATTTTGCGATTACTGAAACTTACCCTACGGAAAGTTAAAAAGTATCAATATTTTAAAATAATCGCTATAAATACTGTAAATTTCATTAGCGTATTTTATAAATTTAATATAATATAAGCGCTTATATTATATTTTGAACCACCTTAATCGGTTGCGCCGTTCTCTCAAAACTACTATTTTTTGCACTTTCTGATCCGTATCTCTGAAACCGCTGGACCTGCGTTCGCAAAAATGTAATCGATTTTTCTCTCAATCAATACCAATAGAATGTTTTTGAATCATTCAAATCGGATGTATATATCTCTGGAACGGCTGGATCTAAATTGCCAAACACTAATCAGCACATCTCCCCGTCAATACGAATCGAATGTTTTTTGAATAATTCAAATCCGTTGGTCCGTGCTTCCGATACCGCGGATGAAATATTGTACGTCACATACCCATCCATTTTTTTGCCAAAATGTTTAAAAACCTCTGAAACGTATGCAGAAAAAAATATTTTCGATTTCCTTTTTGCGATTAAGTTGAAAACACAGTAATATTCAAACCTCAAAAACTTTTATTTATTTAACATGGCAATTGCTACGATAATATCAAAAAACTTTTTACATGGGCAATGGTAACTTTATTAGATAATTTAGTTAAAAATATATAAAGCAAACTTAATTTTATCGAAGAAAAAAAAATTGCAAAATTTCTGGAAAAACACTATTTGCTTTCACACATATATGACTGACTGGCTAACTTTTTACTCGACAAAGCGTGTCAATTTTATATATCTGACACAAGAAATTTTCAGGTCAAAATTAGGATTTTAAAAATTGAGATTTAGCAGTTTGCAAAAAAGTTACGCTAGAATTTTGAATACATTGTTCAAAACTTTGTCAAAGTTTTATAGTTAGACCACTTTTGTAGGGCTCTAATATTTAAAAATGTTCATTAACCAGTTAGGCCTAGACAATATTAGAATATGATATAGTATGTACTATGATAATAATGCAGTTAAGTGTGGCGAGCCGAATGGAGTTAATCACACAGTAAATTGCGCTGTTAAGATATCGGATCAAAAATATCTATTTATTGTACGAAATTGTAAAATATTATTTATATTTTATATATATATATATTTATATTTTATATATTTATATATATATATATATATATATATATACATATTAAGCTGAAAACGTGACAAATTTAATGAAATATTATACATATAAAAATAAGAATTCAAATTCTTGCTGTGAAGTGATAAGAACAATATAAAAGATTATACGCCTACGAAAATTAGTTTAATTGTATAAAAAATTATCAAAGTTTTCAATCAGTACTTTCAGTACATTCACCCTATGACGTGCACTCTTAAATAAAATACATTTCTAAAATACGAATTAGAACGAAATTAAATTAATTATTAAAATAACACTTACTAAAGTTTATTTAGTTCATTCAGATTATACCTTCCAGATTTCTGGAAGTTTTTGCAACTTGCCTTAAGATAAAATGCCATTTACAACAACTTATTATACAGTAATAGCTTAAAAAATTTCTAAACATCTTGACATTTCATTTTTGCTCGAAGAATAAAACAAATTTACACAAGTGAGTTGCATCTTAAAAGAAACACAATGTAGAAAACAATATAAATATGTGCGCACGATATGTGTTACCTGAACCGATTATACACCGGACATATATTTTATATTAAAATTATGTTCAACAGTCCATTCCCCAATAGATTTATTTTGAATTATTATATATAAAATTTGCCATTTTGTGCGCGGTCCTCACGTGTGAAATACTATTTTCGATGCGGTCTTCAACGTGTTAAGTTACATAATAAATCACAACGCTGGCATATACCAGGAGATTATTAAATGCATAAAAGCAGTTAATTGGAGCTGCAAATTAACTACATTTTTCGTATGAAAATCGTAACTTTATCGCTTCCGAACACATATCCACATATAACCATCACATATTCCTCATATAACATAGTGCTTCTATAATATGGATTCAATCTAACACGGTTCGATAATTCAACAAACCTCTCAAAATATAATAAAATTTATTAAAAACGAACTTAATCTAATTCAAAATTATTGAAATCGCTGTATAACAATAAACCGTATAATAATAAATTCGAACGCGACGTCAGTCAGTCATATTGCTTCTTAAGGGGGTTGTTCTTTTTTTTGTTACAAAACATGCGAAGTATTTGTTTTTGTTTTTCTCGAAATGTATTTATCATAAAGACATGCGGTTTTTTTTAAACAAAAATTACAAAATCATAGAATATTAGGAAATTTTTTTTTTCGTCGTCATTTTTTAACCAGGGGGCGCCAAAGTGGGCATTGCAAAATCGATCTCGTTTGCGGTGCCACAGATAAATCCGTTGCGCATCGCCTGAAACAAAAAAAAACGAAACTACGTTGAAGAAGAAGTTTGAATCCAGTCCCCCTACCAAAATGAAAGAAAAAAAGCAAGAAGGAAAAAATGGCAGCTATTTAAAAAAAAAGTGTCAAAAAAGGCCTTTTTTGGGATGAGAATATTCGCAAAATTTTTTTGCGTAATGTTATCAAGCTGTTTGAGGTAGGGGGACTAGGTATTGCAGTGGTGAACAAATTAAAAAAAAAATGCAAGTCGATCCGACTTGTAGTTTTTTTTAATTTGTGGCACCGCATTGAAAAAAGTCAATTTGAGAAAAACGTATTTAAAGTTTTTAATATAATGTACTAAATACACCATTTAATTTAATGTACGAAATACATGATGGTGTTCAAAGATGCTGACACATTAAAAAGGTCATGTGCATGAGGTATTATAATGAAAAAGAGGCAGCTGGCATACAATAGCTCGCGGAACGATAAAAAAACGCTTTCAGAGGATCATACGTATAGAGATATATATATCTATAACTTCGTCAAAAAAATAGATATTGAGATGATTTTTTTTTAAACTAATTCTAAGGTTTTTAGCTTTCATAATATCAAAAAATCTCAAAACCGAAACAAGGAAAAATAAAAAAGAACAACCCCCTTAAAGGAACATTCTTCAAATAAAATGAGCACAACATTTAAAAGAAAACTTCACTAGTGCTTAGAATCATATAAAATAATATGAATTTTTTTAATTCTAACGCCTATATTCGTAGTGGCATAAGGCGGTAGTTTTTTGAATCGTAACCATCTTGTTATACAGGGCGCTACCTGTGTGTAAAAATAAGAGTTGGAATAAAAATTCTACGTATTCTATAAATATATTTATTAATAAATATTTTGTAAAATAAAAATTGCTTTGTGTCCCCATAAGTTTAAAATTTTTCATTCCTCATCGTCTGTTGCATAAAGTCGTTTGGCCCACTCGACGGCCGCAGAGAACGACCTCAAACTAGCGGGAGTTCCAATAGAGCTGAGACTGAATGAACCAGCCTCAGCTGTTAATCTCGCATTTAATAAATCTTTAACTATATTTTCGGGATCTACAAAATCTGATTCATTACTATCCATAGAACTTGATATAAGAGACAATTCCAAAAGGCTTTTATAAGATTTTGATTGAACAATATCTTGTGCCAAATGTTTTGATGCTATTAGTTTTAAAATTGTTTCTTCTAGAGGTTGCTATAAAAAAGAACAATGGTTGTATTAGTGTATTAATGTTAAACATATTTGTATAGCAAGAATTAGTAATAATTTACCAGCAACGAAACTTCCAAAAAAAAAAAAATATAAGATGAGGTATGTATATATATATATATATATATATATATATATATATATATATATCTTGAATAATGATTTTCAGCGAATCGTCAAAATATCTCAACTCATATATATGTATATATAATATATATATATATATATATATATATATATATATATTATATATATTAATATATGTGTATGTAAATATATTTATATTTGAAATATAAATGAGAAAATTATAATATAATGATATAATATAATGGTTGATACTAACTTCAAGTTTGTTTATTATCTCCACAGCATGATATCTTAAATAACTCGTTGATTCATTGTTTTTATAAAAAATTAAATCAAACAAAATACCCAAATGTTCCGTAATTTTACTTTCATATTTTTTATGCATATTTTCTATAGTCTGAAAATGTTCAAATTCACCAATTATTGTTAACGACTATATAAAGATTTTAACTGTAGTATACACTCACTAATTCCGACAAATCACCACTGTCCAAAATTTTCATCATAATAGAATATACATTTTCAACTTGTCCAATTTCTCCACAATTTAATATTTTTTCTAACAACATGCTCCATGGACTATTTATATCACAATAATGTTCTATGCTAAATTTTGGCCAATACGACAATAATTCTGATAAACATTCAACATGATCCCAATTTGATACTTTGTCAAGAAAATGTTGGAAAACTTTATATCTTCCTTGTTCAGTAGTTAATTCCATATTCGATAAGATCTCAGCTAAATCTTAATGAAAAAATTTGGTTATAATATTTAAAGAAAACCATGTTATTGATATTTTTTGTTCCATAGTACATATAATTACCACTTTTAATCAGGCTATCTTGTTCAATATTCCAAGCTGAAGAAACTGTAGCTTGTGTATGTTGATAGAGCATTAGTGAACTGACCTCACTATCTGATGAAATATTCAAGTCCTATGTGAAAATAAATTACTTGATGTGAAAACTGTATTTTATGTTTAATATCAAATCAAAAGCGTTTGCATATTGTGTATATAAATTCATTACTATATAATAGAATTTTATTTTTAGAAGTATTGTAAGCATAGCAAAAATGATTGTTGTAAATCTGTGTCATGAAAATGAAGCCCACTAATTTAAATGTACCACAAGAAATTGAATCTTGTGCTTCCTTCAAACATTCAGATTAATCCTGGTCATGCATGTATTTACAAATATTGTATCTAATCTAAGTTTTATCTAATATAAATAGTTATAATTGTATACTTGTATAATTTTCATGAATCTCAATCTCAATGTGGATGGTATTCTAGAGTCTCCACACAAAGGAAGTAGTACATCTGCTAATTCTTTTTTGGTCTTATCACACAATATAAATGATTGTTCTGTGTCTTCATCAATAGATTCATCAATGTTCCATTCATTGTCCCAATCCCCTGAAGCAAAATCTGCCTCAGTTTTCACAACTTCAGATGAACTACTAATTAAAAAACGTTCTAATCTTGTGGCAACCATTGATAAACTATTTAAACTTTCAGTGCTGAAACAAAGTATTTCTTGTGGTTGAAATTTCCATTATTCTTTAAATACAGAGGACTGCTCTTATTGAAATGTTGCAGTATTGATACTCACCTGTTTAAGTTTTTACAGCATGTATTTATTAAATGTGTGATAACAAATAATAAAGTGGGAGAACCAGATATTGATTTCATGGCAATAATGATATCTTCTAAAGAAATGTTATCAATTAATAATAATTCTATATAGCCTGATAGCAGAAGATCTTTATCTGTGCAAGAACCTTGTATAATCCTGCAATAAGATACACCAATCAGAAGTTAAAATTAACTCATTAACGAATCATGCTGTGCATAACAACATTAAGATTCAATTAATAATACTGATTTTTATATTCTATTTATACTAACTTTAATATATGTTGTATATCTCCGTGCAATGATAAATTCTGCCAAGGTTCACTACGAAGTGTCTCAAGCAAACTTTCCCATTCTGTGAATTCGGAATGGGTAAAACTCCAACCTTCACTAAAATAATTTTCTGACTATATTTGTATCTACAAGTTAAAACAAGAAAATATAATAAGGTACTAACATTCTATCTTGTTTGGTCCTTTCATTGCAGTAGGTTATCGCATGTTTGAGCAATGTTAATCTAGTTAATATGTCTATCTTGTTTATTAACTTTGAATTTAATGTGATGTGGTATACAAACATTTTAAAGTCTTCTGCATTGATCTTAGAAAATAGTGGGCTAATATCATTCCAGTGTTTTTCATATTCTTTGAGTGGAGAGTTTATTTGTATCTGAAATGTTCAAAAAATATTTCAAGTAATGTATAAAAAAATAATAATTGGAGTACTAGATATTAATTGCACTTTAGTTAAGGCAAAATTAGTATAAGAATTAATAATATTTTTATTCTTCTCAAACAATGTTGATGAGAATATTCAAACAACCATATAGTTTTCTCTTAATTAAATAAATTTAAAGCAATAACGCTAAAGCGTCAAAATATTTTGTACATTTATTTTTTTATTTTGTGAAGAATTTTATAGAATATTACAATTAATGCAGAAATTCAAGTTTGCGCAAGATATGTTAGTATTACATACTCATAAATCTCAAAATCAAAGTTAAAAGCAAATAAAAAAATACATAACACAGCATATCTTAATTTAATGAAAAAATTTAAAATAATTAAAATTCTCTAAATTATTTCAAAATAATGTATAAAATCTTACTTCTGACATATGTTTTTTGCACCATTCTTTATAAAGTAGTGATTGAGTGTATTGACACTTTGCCAATAATTGTGTTGGTAAACTTTTCAAAAATTTATATAAAACTGGTAGATCATCTTGAAGTAAATTTGATGTTATTTGCGATACAAAATTTTCAGGTGGCGTAAGGAGAATAGCATAATTAAGAGCTGAAATATAACATAATTATGAACAGATAACATGACTTTGCTCCATATTCAATTGAGATAACAGTAATCAATTTCGTACTGAACTTACTTGGACAAGCTGATTTAATTTTTTTAAGTAATTTAATATGTTCTTTTGACAAAAGGCCATAAAATAAATAATCCGGATTAACCCTATCCGTTAATGTGAAATAAACAATTAATATATTGTGCTCCGACCCATCTAATGTAGGAAACACTTCTTTCAACAACCTAAAATGTGGCATAGTGATAAATTACGAATACAATTACATTTTCAAAAGTTTTGCACCTTTCACAAGTTATGTCAGGTTGTTCCTTTAATAATTGAAGTAAGCCTTTATCTTCTAATCGATCACTAACTTTCTTTAAATCAATTTCTGAACTTTGTAATAAACTAGAAGCATGTTCAAATGCTATTGATGATAAATTTATATTATGCCTGTTTCCTAGCTTAAGTGCCAAATTATAGCGATTCAAATCAGGACTCCTATAAATTTAAAAATAAAAAATGTATAAATTTAAATGCTATATATATATATATTATATATATATATATATATATATGTATATTATAAAATTGACAAGATGTAAATATTTTAATATAATGTAAATTTTACACAAATCAATAAATTTTATTCAATCATTGAAATTAATAAAATTGTTTTTTACGGAATTGCCAAAAAAATTATTTTCATCTGAAATTACATTTAAGGCTAATCAATGCTAATGAGAACCAGAATAGTAAATTGTTTTTAAATTTTCTGAATTGGACAAATTAAATTAATGAATTAAATTGAAATTTATGTAATTAACATGAAACAATTATAGTGTTTGAAACCATTCCCAATTGATATATTTTTAATCAATGTAGAATTTCTGAAATCTATATAAAATTATCTATTAAATCTAAAAATAGAAGCTTCAACTGTTAAAGACAAAGAAACGGCTCTGTCAATTTCTTTTTTTTTTTAATCAAAAAATTATTTTGAAAAGATAAATAATTAAATATTTAACTATTAACTACAAAGTATTAACTACATTGATACATTCACCAAAGTAATTATACTAAATTGATATCTTTCAAAAGGCTATTAAAATCTATTTTAATTCAAACACTTTATAGTATTTATACAGAAACACCAACACTCAATTCTAATTAAGAATACAAATATATATTTCTGTCACTGTACTTAGAATGTGATTAATGTGATTATAATTACTTACATTGATAGTCCTAATATTGAATCCCTTCTATAATTTTCATCATTTGCAAATCTTTGTATATCGACACCACAGCCTAAAGTATGCAACTCCTCAGCTTGACAGAAATCTTGTAACTTATTACGATACTCATGAAGTATAGAATGCATTTCACTATCAGTTTTCACATTAAGGGCAAGTTGTGTTATCTATAAAGAAGATACAATTATATCAAACCATTAATCTAATTATATTTGTTCAATACATAATATCTAGAAAAGTAATTAAATGTCAACAAAACAAAAAACTATAAAAAAATTCACATTCTATGTAAATAAATACCTGTATGTTGTGATTGAATTTCAACATATGTTATTAACAAACTAACTAAACTTAAAAAACATATTGAACGTGCATATTGCTTCTGCATGCTATATTATGTATCTATAACTTTAATAATTTATTAAAAGATATACTAATTATATTTTGGATCTCTACTATATATACAAACCTCATCCAAATCTTTAGTAAACAAGCCCATATCAGAACTATATTGTGGTTCACTAAATAATATTTGCAATGCAAAGTAATATATAGCTGTCCGCAGCGTAGCCAGTGAAACTGGGAATGAATCCAATACCTTCTTAGCATCACAGGGATTTTTTAATATTAATAAAATAGCCAGTCCCAGAGTAATATCTTCAGGAAGCACATAAGTGGCATATTGAATAAGCACTATAGTAAGCAAAACATTATTAATTAAAAATTACTGTGAAAATAACCAAACAAAATATTAATATATTTCTATTTCACCTTCATTCATATCTGGTACCAAGGTGGGATCAAATTGATTTTCCAAAACAACTAATTTTAGTAAAATTCTGCAAATTTGTACTTCCTTGCAATCAATATCAACATCAGAAAACCTTGAAATCAAAAATAAATGATAAATAGCCAGAGTACTCTACACTTATTTTATTTCAAACATTTCACTACACAAACACATTTTTCACTTATAAATTTTCATATTATGTACTTCAAATGCATTTCCGTACCAGTTTTCAAATTCAACTTTAATATTCTTCAGAGCATAAAAAATATTGTGTACCATTAAAGTATGTTTGTTACTGATATTCATTGTATGTTTGTTCTTACCTATCATAACATGAATAAAAATTCGATATGAGACATTTTCATGTAACCCTGCATAAAAACATGGATAACTTTCTTCCGTAAATGTATTTCTGATAGATGAATTTCTGGAGTTTCTTTACGTTTTAGAAAATCATGTTCAATTATGTGCGACATTAAACTGAATGTTGAGTCCTTTATTATATCAGCTGGATTGAACATTTTCATCACTTTAGTTAAATTTGCAGGCAACTCTTTGACCGTTGACAAGGACTGATAAGAAAAATTGTTATACATTTATATATATATATATATATATATATATATATATATATATATATGTTAATATTGTCTTTTAGACAGAGCGCAATTCAATCAAAGTTTTGTATGGAAATAGCATGAAAAATTTTCAAAAATTTTGTAAGCATCGAATTTTCAATAAAAAATTACATGAATTTTCACTTTTAATTCATTTGTCGCTAAGTTATACCTAATTTTTTTTTTATTTTCAAAATTTTTCCATGCTATTTCCATACGAAGTTTGATTGAATTGCGCACTATCTCAAACGTATTATTAAGAGCTAAAACTTTCAGAGAATTGTTTTTCATCAATTTGGAACCATTTGAGCCCTTGGAAGCAAGGAAATTCGAAAATGTTCATATTAAGGGACACACTAATATATATATATATGGTAACCCCGTATAACGCGGTGGTTACGTTCCAACAAACTAGCGTGTTATGCAAACCCATGTTATATGGAATAAAGGACTAGTACAATATAAGGGGTTGCATTCCAGAACTCAAAAAATATGCTACATATTATGATTTTATGATAAAATTATTTTATTTACTAAATTTTCTTAATTAATAGACATTAAATAAATTATATGATATTTTTTTCGTTATAACTAACAAGTAAGTGCTATCCAATTGTTTACTTTTCTGTACTACCTTTATTTCCATGTTCCATTTTTTGCAAAAAAAATGATATTTTCAATTGATGACTTTTAGTAAAAAAATATTTATATTTTTTTTTCATTTTTGAACCGTGTTTAGCAAACCCGTGATATAAGAATACCGCTGTTATAAGGGAGGCAAATCCGTGTTATATGAGTACTGTGTTATACAGGGGTTACATGTATATATATATATATATATATATATATATATTATATTTTTTCATTAAATTTTAATATATTTAACCTACCGAACTAAATGGATCAAAAGATTCTTCAATGGGAGTTATTTCTGGAGTTCCTGTTTCAATTACATTTGCCGAAGACGGTACATCATTAGAATTTTCTGTTGCATGAACAGTCAAGAAATCCAACTCCATTTTTAATTCTTTTATTTCTATTTCATCTCTGTAAATATATATTACTTTGTAAAATTATACTAAAAATGAAGGTGACTTTATATAAGTAAACTTATAGTAAATAATTCTTCAATAGCGTCGTCGTCGCAAATAAAAGTGCGAAATCCAATGCTTCAAGTCTAATAGAAAGTCAGAAGAGAATTTCCTTGGCGTGCAAGTTCTGCTAT